ATGGTAACTGATCCACTCCAGCACCTGCACCTTGGTCCAGAAGTACGGGAGCTCACTGAACCACTGGGGCTTGTCTGCAAGGGATGGAGAGCAGGGCTCAGAGCAGGGCGGCTGTACCATGGGCCTCGTGTGGGCTGCCCGTGGCCACTGGACACCTGGTGTGGTCCAGTAACGATCCTGCGGGACACACAGGTCCTGCCCTTGAAGGGCTATGGGACTAAAGGGTTCTTAGTGCCCCACCCTGCAGACCTCACACTTCCCCCACCACTGGTTTCGGTGCCATTTGTCCTGTTTGTGCTGTGATCCCCCCTGCTCTGCTGGTGTGTTTCTCAGGGTGCCTCCCTGAGCACCATCACATGAGCCCCCATCACCAGGATTGTACTTCCAAACTGCTCCTGGTGAGCCCTGGCAGCCTGTCCCCTGTGCTGTGCTATGGGAGGGGGACAGTGATTCCCCCATCTCCTGTATAAATCAGATGTGCTCCCAGCAGCCATACCTTGTGCCACCCAGGGTGTCCTCCCACAGCCCTTCCCCGGGGAAACTGAGGCACGGTGGAAGCTGCTGACCTGTCCCAGTGGGACAAGGACCTTGCAGCGCTGTTCCCAGCCAGTGGCACTGCCTCACACTGCCCCTGGTGCCGGCTCCCCAGTGCCACCACGCCACTCCCCTGCTCCTACCTGTGCTCTGTGCTGGGGGCTGGCTGGCCGGGAGGCTGAGCCCCAGGTTGCTGTCATCCCCAAACTGCCCCAGCATGTCCAGGGCCGGCTGCACCTCGTCGGGCTGGTACATGGCGCTGATGTAGTTAGAGAAGATGTTGCTGATCTCACAGGATCCTGCCATGGAGCTCTGTGCCGAGAGACGACAGTGAGCCCAGGCCCCCAGCACCTGCGGCACCCCGAGTCGGGCTGGGCGAGGTCGGGCTGTCTGTCCCTCCACCCATCGTCACCTCTGGGTCACTTGTGCACAAATACGCACCAGCACCTGCTGGCTGGGGCTGGGCCTGACTCACCAGCCCTGGGGCCAGCGCAGAGGGAGCGAGCTGGGGACGTGGTGTCACTGCCTCGAGCAGCCCTGTCCCCAGCAGCCCGGCCTCGCCCTGCTGACAGCCAGCGGTGGCTGGCAGGGAGCAGTGCCCACAGCCCCTCCGTGGGTGCTGTTTGGGCTCTTGGCCACTCCTGACCCCCTGCCCACGGCTGTGCCACCTCTCCAGTCCCATCCACCGGTGGCAAAGAGCACATCCCGATGGCTGCGGCCAGGCGGGGAGCCAGCCCCTGCCCGGCGCTGCCGAAAAGCCAAATCGCGTGTCCATGGCCGAGGCTGGGGCTGGAGGCCCTCAGGCCCTCAGGAAAAGGCCAGAGCGCATCCCCGCGGAGCAAAGCAGCTGTCCTGGCCTCGGGCACGTCACCAGGCCTCGCCAAAAAGCTTTGGTACCTTCTGTGGTGGCCACTCCAGCAGCTGCGGTAATCCAGAGAGGAGCGGGGCAGAGGAGCCCGGGCTGGCCGCTCGCCACTGCTGCGGGCCCGGGAGGCTGGTGCCGATGGGCAGGCCCTGCCCGTGCCTCGGCTTTTATAGCTTGGGCGGGTAACAATCTGGCAGCCCCAGGGGAATTCCAGCCCCAAACGTTCATGCTCCCAGATCCAGGTGATTTGCATAATATGAACCACCGGGTCCCAGCCCTGCGCTGCCTTGCCGGGAAATCTGGGCTGGCCAGTTTAATCATTGCCAGAGCCCGTGCCCCACCGGTGCCCAGAGTTTCACCCACACTGCCTTCACCGGCTGTTTTCTTGCCAAGCTCTGTTTGTTTGCTCACAGCAGCAGGTTCACTCTGCTCCTGCAGCCAAAACCGCCCGTGGGGTCGGGGTGGGCCTGTGGATCCCTCCCTGGGGTTTGCTGGGCAGCGGGGGCAGGACGTGGGCACGCACCTGGCCAGGTGGGCAGCACAGCCCTGGCAGCCAGCAGGTGTGTGGGGTGCCCTGGCCGTGCCTGGAGCACAGGCTTGTGTGGCACGGGCACAGATTTCCCAGAGCAGGAAGAGGGTCTCAGTGACCAAGCAGGACAGATGGTGGGAGCAGGGCTCAGGTGGGCTTCGCTGCTCTGTCAGTCAGAAGGGGTCGATTTTTGCCTGGGGGAGGTCTGGGACAGACTGCAGAGCTGTGACAGCCGTGCCACACACACCTGGCACCTGCAGCCGTGCACGCTCACCAGGGACGTGCCAAGGGACGAGGCAGGGTCGTGGGATGCATTTGGGGAAGTACCTTCGGTGGCTCTTGCCTCTCTGGCCTTGGGCAGGGGTACCTGGGGCCCTTTGAGGTTTATTCCTGCTGGGTTTAGCCCTGGGCTGGCATGGGAGCATCAGGCCAGTCCCAGCCAAAGCTGGGGCACCCCCTCTGCCTGGTCCTGGTTCTTTGCCGAGCCAGTCACATCCACACCCTGTGCAGACTGAGGCAGTCCTGGGCACCTGGGAGCAGAGGAGACCCTGGCATCACACAGCTGCCTCCTTGGCACTTCAGGGTCCTTTCATCACTCCAAGCCTGGCAGCAAACCCTCTCCTGTGACACTGTGCTCACAGGCTGTTGCCAACATGGATACTCCAGCTTGGCACATGGACCTGCAAGGGCAGGGTGGCCCATGTCCTGTCCCCTGTGTCACATCCCCCAGGCCCTGGGGCAGGCAGGGCCAGTGTGCCAGCCAGGAGGCACCGGGTCCCACCAGCTGATCACCCACCCCAGCTTCATTCCTCCTCAGCACACTCAGGGGTGCTGGGTGCTGCCAGGCCCTTCTGTACCCCGGGCACAGCCCACAGGGACCTCCCCTGCCAGGGAGCAGCCCCAGGGCAAGCCAGGGCCACCAGGGGAAGCAGCCCCAGAGCCTGGCCATGCACACAGCCAGGGATGGAGCCCAGGGCTGCCCCGTGCCCGGGGAGCTGGCTGCCCACTGGGCAAGGCTGCCAGTGCGTGTGGTTGGAAACTGCCCCTGGGGAAGGTTTTTCCACCCACCACTACACTGCAGGTGTCCCTGGAGCAGGGTGGGATGTGCCAAAATTTCGCCGTCCCCTGGGCCACCAGCCAAGGGGTGAGGAGGTGGCCCTGTGGCATTTGGGAATCTCCTGCCCCAGGCGTGCACAGCCCACCCACCCACAGCTCTGCCCGTGCCAGGGAACCCGGGGGCTGCCTGGCAGGGCTGTGTGGCACAGACCACCCTGAGCACCCCTTGTCCGGGTGTCCCTTCCCTCAGGGTGGCCTCAGGGAGGCACCACAGCCAGTCCACGCGCTCAGGCAGTGCCACCATGGCAGAGGGGCACCCAGGGGTGACACCCTCAGACTCCCATGTGTGCCTGGCACAGCAGGGGCCCTCGGTGTCCTCCTGTGACTCAGCCTGCCCCTTCCTTCCCCTGCCTTTGGGAATCAGGAGGCCAGTGCAGGGGGCTATCCTCCCCAACCCCCTGCAGGTACCCTCCAGCTTTCCTGCCTGCAGGAATGCCCTTCCAGCCCCTTGTCCACTGAGGTACCACAGCCTGGGGAGGTCACCATGGGCAGCACTCCCTGGAGGTGCTGAAACACTCTGCTGGGAGCTGGGGAGGGCATAAGCCTCTCCTTAGGTGTCCCCATGGCCTCCCTAAAGACCTGGGGCACAGCAAGATGCAGAACGGTGCCCATGGGACCCTCCCCTACCCAGAAGCAGCCACAGCCCTGATGGGCTCAGAGCAATTCCTCCTTCAGATGGGTGGCACGGGGCTGCCAGCATCTCATTGCCACAGCTGGTAGCTCCCAGGGCTGTGGCCCTGCTGTCCCCTTGCTGCTGGCCCAGTGCAGCTTTCGGCACGTGGGGTGCATGGCACGGGTCACTGCCAGCCAGGCTTGGCATGCTGCAGAGAGAAAGAGATGGCCATGAGTGTGACATGGTGCCGTGATGACTGGCAAGAAGACGTGTCTGTGGTGCCACGAGTGGCTGAGGCACCAGGGGGGAGCAGGAGCGATGTCCCCTGCCCTGCCAGGGGGGTTGGGCCCATGACACCCCACCTTTGTAACCCAGGGTCACCAATTGCCCTGGCAGCACCATGGTGGCTGTGGGTCCGGAGGCTCATGCCATAGGCTGAGGGTGGCACAGGGCATGGTGCTGGGGGCTGGGACACCGCTGGGCACCGCTGGCCAGCGTCCTTGGGTGCCGGCATAGCTCACCTCGGGGGGCTCAGGTGACACCGGGTCACACATCCCCACCGCGACACCCCGCACCGGCAGGGCCCCGCCGGCGCCACCTGCCAGCATCTGCCCCAAAATCTCCTATCGGCCCTCCCCCAGCATCTCCCCCAGCCCCGCAGGACCTGCACCGCGCCCCGTGTCCCCTCTGCGCTCCGGGCGCCGCGGTGGCGCAGCCAGCGCTGCCCTCTGCCGGCAGCCCTGCTCCGGCAGCCCTGCTCCTTCCCTTCCCTTCCCTTCCCTTCCCTTCCCTTCCCTTCCCTTCCCTTCCCTTCCCTTCCCTTCCCTTCCCTTCCCTTCCCTTCCCTTCCCTTCCCTTCCCTTCCCTTCCCTTCCCTTCCCTTCCCTTCCCTTCCCTTCCCTTCCCTTCCCTTCCCTTCCCTTCCCTTCCCTTCCCTTCCCTTCCCTTCCCTTCCCTTCCCTTCCCTTCCCTTCCCTTCCCTTCCCTTCCCTTCCCTTCCCTTCCCTTCCCTTCCCTTCCCTTCCCTTCCCTTCCCTTCCCTTCCCTTCCCTTCCCTTCCCTTCCCTTCCCTTCCCTTCCCTTCCCTTCCCTTCCCTTCCCTTCCCTTCCCTTCCCTTCCCTTCCCTTCCCTTCCCTTCCCTTCCCTTCCCTTCCCTTCCCTTCCCTTCCCTTCCCTTCCCTTCCCTTCCCTTCCCTTCCCTTCCCTTCCCTTCCCTTCCCTTCCCTTCCCTTCCCTTCCCTCTATCCCCCAGCCCCTTGGCCAGGCTCATGGCAACAGGAGGGGATGGGCGGCTCCTGGCTGTGCCCTTTCCCTCCTCAAAGCCACCTCTGTGCTCCGTCCCTTCATGTCCAGAACATTTTATTTGCAAAGACAAAAAGGCAAGAAACAAACAGCCATTGAAAAAACGTACAGCAGGAAAGCACAATAACTTACACTATTTACAGGAACACACCAAGGTAGAAAACACACACACACCTCATGCTCTGACAAACCCAGCCCGGGGCCAGGCTGCACAACCCCCCCAGAGGCCACAGCAGCCTCCAGAGCAGCTGGCCTCTGGAAAAAGCTCCGAGTGTGAAAAGGCATCTGCTGTTGTGCTCCTTGTGCAGAGAGAGAGATGGAGCAGGGGACACAGTGCTGCAGCTGCCCAGCCCCACGGGGGGCTGCACCCGGGGCTCCCAGGCGGGGGGAGAGCTGGAAGGAGCCAGGGCAGAGCTGTGCTGGGTGGGGGACAAGCCCTGGGGCGGGAGGGAGTGCAGGGCTGTATTTTCTGGGAGCTGGGCCTGCCCCAGTTACAGCTGGAGCACCATGCAGCACCTGGAGGGGCTGGGGGTCCTCGTCCCTTCCCAGAAGGGTGAGGGGGGCTCAGGAGGATGTGCAGCCTGCAGGAGACAGTGAAACCCCCGGGAGCCTGTGGGAAGCAAGCTGGAACCCTGTGCGTGGCAGGGATCAGGGATGGTACCTGGACTCTCTGCAGTGTGGGGCACGGGCAGGACCGGTGAGGAGCACAGGAGGAGGGGTGAGGAGCACTGGGAGAGCACCGTGGGAAGCAGGCACTGGGTTTGCAGCACCAAGGCAGGAGGCAGCAACTGAGACCCCTGAGCAGATGTGCTGAGAGGTGGTGGGGAGGAACATCACACCTGGGGGGACAGGATGGGACCCCAGAGCTCCCATTCCTCGCAGCTGGCCAGCCCAGCCTGTGTCATCAGAGCTGGAGGTGGCAGGGAGGGGACACTGCTCAGGAGGGCTCACAGTGGTTTGGGGATCCAGTGCTTTTAGGCTCCTGACTCTGGTCCACCCCTGTTGTGCAAAGCTCAGCTCTGGGGCAGCCCTGCTCCCTGCACAGAGGCTGGAGCTGTGTGCTGGGGGTGAGGAGACCCCCAGAGCAAGAGTTAGGCCCTGGGGGAAGAGGCATGACCCAGCAGCTTGAGGAAGGAGTGCAGCTATGATCACAGCCTGGTCACAAATCGAGGTGCCCAGGGCAGAGGAGAACAAGGTGCGTGGTACAAAGGCAGCTCCAAAGTGTCCCTGCCCGGGGGGGCTCTCAGAGGGGCTCTGAGACCACCAGAGGGGACTTCAGTCGTGCAGCCAGCACAGTGCACAGGGATGGAACAGCTCACCCACAGGCAAAGAGCCTTCATCCCAGTCCTCCTCCTCCTCCTGTCTCAGCCCATGGTGCCACTGGAGCTCTGGGGGTCCCAGGGGCCACCCCTCCTCGACCCACCTGCGTGTGGGACCTTGTGCTTTAGTGCCACCCCAAACTGGCCGTGTGGCTGCCCAGGCCCCGTGCCAGCCTGAGCTGGGGGCTCCAGGGCCCCCTGGTTTCTGTTCCGTGCCTGGCACTGAATCTGGACACAACTACGTTTTTTGGGAGTGAAAAATCAAACATCACACACCAGAATCAGCTTCTCACACACCATCCCCAGCCTGGGCAGAGGCTTTTACAGCTGCCCTGCAGCTGGCTCTGGGCAGTGGTGGCTGGAGCCAGCCCATGCCAGCAATGTGCTTTGCACAGACATTTCCCAGTCGAGAGCTCCATCACAGCCACAGAGAGCATCTGTGAGAGCAGAGGGAGAAATTCGGGCTGAGCCCAGCCTGTCAGAGCTCCCTTTCCACCCTGCCATGGGACCACATGGGAGCCACATCCAGGCTGCCAATCAGCCCAATCACCGATGGCAACACCACAGATCCCCAGCCAGGAATCCCATGAGAAATGGGAGCAGAATCTCGCTCTGGGGGATCCCACAGCAAAGGGGGAGCTGGCAGGGCAGGGACTCCAGCCCTGCTGCCCTGCCCAGGAGGAGGCAGGGCTGGGAACACAGCGGGTGGCTCAGACATGCAGCAAGGTGGCAGTGAGGCCACGTGTCCCCAGGACGAATTCAAGTGTCAAAACCATAACAATAACAATAATTAAGAGAGAAAAAAAAATCTTACACCACAAAATCCCCACCCCATCCCCAACAGGAAACCCAATGACGACAGCACCCAGCTTGCACCGTGAGGTAGCTAAACCAGATCAACACCCAAAAAATGCTCTTTTGCATGAGAAACATCAACCCACACAGGTACTGAGACACACACACACACACACACACACACACACACACACACAGCTATGGGATCACAGTCACCCCTGGCCTGGTTCCAGCCAGGACAGAGTTAATTTTTGCAGTAGCCAGGAGGGGCCATGGCCAGAGCCCAGAGGTCCTTTCAGACCACCTCACATCATTGCTGGGCAGGGGGAAGGGAGTCTCTTCCAGGGAGAAGGGATCTCTTCCAGTCAGGGTAGCTTGCACTGCGGTGAGCATTTGCATGTGATTTTCTCTCTTTTGTACACTTTTGTTATTAATATTGTTGCTGTTAATTGTTTTTATCTCATTGCTGTTTCCAGTCAATCTCTACCTGTGATTTTTTCACCTTTGTGCCTCCAGTTCTCCTCTCCATTCCACCACAGGGAAGGAAGGAGCTGGGGCTTGTGGCAGTGCACAGTTTTAGTGGGAACACTAAATTGGGGAATACCATTCCTAAACCACAACAGTTTGTTTTGTTTTGTTTTGTTTTGTTTTTGCATCCAAAGTAGGGCTTGAACGGTTGAGATAACAACAGATCTGCCCAGAGTGGGTTGGAAGCATATTTGATCTAAACATTTTCTGCATTAGGTGCTGAGCCAGTGGTGACAATGTTTTCTGGTCTGCCTATGTGGGTACCTAACCCTGTTCATATTTCTGTCTGTTCCCATCACAGCCTGTCTCAGGGAGGGGGATCAGGATTGCTCTGTCACTTTATGCCATGATAACACCAAGGGCAGTGAGGGGCATTTGGGATATGTCTTGAGTGTTGCCCTCCTACCCTTACCTCAGGCACTTCCTTTGGGAGTCCATTAATAAACATCATGACCTCTGGGGGCAACAGGGGAGGATGATTTTCCCCAGACTTTCACCCACTTTCCCCCCTTGAGGCCTGTTAAAACAGCTTTTGAAGCTCTGAATTCCCTTTGGATGTTAAGGAAATCATATTTTTCCAGATCACCTTGCTGCAGGCCACATAATCTTTGGAGTCAAGAAAGAGATTTCTAGGGAAGTTACTCAGAGATCTATCCTGATGGGGAATAGTCATGATTGGCACGGAATGTGGGAGACAATGGGCCACTTTGGGAAGAAATTCTCTCCTCCAGTGGTTTGGAAGTGTCCCCCTGAACAAGTACAGGACGCTGTAAAAGTGCCAGAGCACTTGCAAGGAGAATGCTGTGGCAGTTCCAGCGAGGAGCCTCACGCAGCGTGCTGGGCCCTGTCAGCATTTATCAGACACTGCTTTGCACCAGACAGCACCCTCAGGAGGAGGAGGAGGAGGAGGAAGGCAGAGCAGCAGGCACTGTGGCCACTCAAGCTGCAGCTGAAGCACAGGAACAACCCGTGCTGGCAGCAGTGCCCCTACACAGAAGAAATCCAAATCTCTACCCAGTTTGTATGGAGAGGGATGAAGAGGAAGCAGGGCCCTCACAACAGGAGGAGGAGGCAGGGCTGGGGATAATCACCCCATCCCCACCCCAGGTGAGGGAAATCTGAAGAGGTTTCAGCTGCCAGGGGGGGTTGAGCCCCTGCTGACCCCACTGCTGCAATGCTGGGATGCTGCAGCCACGCTGTGGAGCCAGATGGGAGCGAAGCCAAACAGGGATCCCTGTCCTGGGACGTGGGCATGGACAAGGGAAGAGCACAGAAACCCCCACCTCTGCAGGCAGCTCCTGCCAGGCTGAGGGAAAGGCATTCCCTCAGGGATGATCGAGCAGAGCACCCAGGCAGGTGGAGCAGCATGGAGAAGGTGCCCAGCACCCCAGGGAGTGGCAGAGGGAGTCCCTAGGGATTCAAACAAGCAGCAGTGCCCTGCAGATGAGCTCCAGTGCACACCATGCACGTGCCAGGAGGTTGTACACAGCACAGGTCATTGGCACTGATGTGGATGATTTTCCCCAGTCTTTCACTCACTTTTCCTGCTTGAGGCCTGTTAAAATAGCTTTTGAAGCTCTGAATTCCCTTTGAATGTTAAGGAAATCGTATTTTTCCAGGTCTCCTTACTGCAGGCCTCATAATCTTTGGAGTCGAGAAAGAGATTTCTAGGGAGGTTATTCAGGGATCTGAACAGAAGGAGAACAAACAGTGTTAAAGGTGACTCCCCAACTCTGATGATGAAGATCATCATTTTTTTCTCCCTGACAACCTGTGTCCCAACTGTGTAAAAAGACTGTCTAAGACTGGCCCAGTCCATGGACTGTGGACTGAGGAAATGTCCCATGTCACACCAGTACAGACCAGAGCCTCTCTCAAGAGAGGGCACACCACAAGGCAACCTGTGGTTTTACCTGCATGGGCACAGAGAGGACAAGAGGAAGAGGGAAGGAAAACCCACCTCCGGCCCAAGCATGGGTGTGTGAGCTGAGAGGAAAAACAACAGCTGCAGGAAATTCTTCAAGGATCAATGCCACCCCAGTTTCCAGTGGGCACGTGCTCAGAATAAAAGAGCAAATGTCACTTAGGGGAGGGGAGGGCAGCAATGGGCCCTGCTGGGCTGTGTGGGTCCAAGGCTGGCACAAGAGTGTAAGGCTTTACACACAGTGTACCCTGATGCCATGGAGATATTCAGGGGCAGGATCCATTCCTTCTCCCCAGAGGAGAGGTCTACTCTGGTCAGTAGAACACAGCTGCAGGCAAGTCAGGGTGAGCATTCTGCATGTGAATCATTCTTTCTTTTGGATACTTCTGTTATTAATATTGTTGCTGTTTTACTGTTTGTCTTTTATCTCACTGCTCTTTCCAGTAAATTGCTCTTCTCTCAATCTGTGATCTTCATCTTTTGTGCCTCCATCTCCCCTCTCAACCCTGCTGGGGATGGGGATGGGGATGGGGATATGAGTGGTGCAGGGTTTTAGTGGGAGCACTAAATTGGAGAATGCTATTCCTAAATCAGGACTCTCCTCACTTCAAACCCCCTGCCTCAGGACACCAATGCCCCAGCAGCAGCTCCCTCCCTCCCTCCACAGGCTGTGAGAGCCTTGGGGCTGCTGGACACAGCAGCAAGAGAGGCTGAGCATCACCCAGGACCGGCCCCTCAGCCCTGCAGTGCTGAACAGGCACCTGCAGCCTGCACACAGGAAGGTATTGGTGGCAAAAGGCAAGGCAGGTGTGACCCCAGCTGTGCCCCCTTCACCCATGGCAGCAGGGAAGGCTCCAGGCACTGGAGATCTCAGAGCAGACAGAGGCTCACACACGACACCAGGCTACAGCCAAGCACTCAGCAGAGACACCCACACACACACAGAGCCCCTCCAGCCAAGCAAAGGATAAACCAGCTGAGGAATGAGTGCAGAAGCCCTCTCCAAGACAGGCTTAGGGTGGAGACAGCTCCTGCAGACCCCCAGACCCCCACCATGGCTGTGTGCCCTTGGCTGGTGAGGTCTCTGTGCATTTTTGGCTGCACCCTCAGTTCCACAGGTCACACAGGATGGGTGGGAGCCTCTCCTCAACCTCCTCAACACAGTCACCAGTCCTGGCTGTGCAGGGCTCAGCCACCTTCACAGGGACCAGTGACTGTCCTGGGCAGGGTCACTCACACTCACACTCACACTCACACTCACACTCACACCCACACTCAGGTACCATTTACCCTCCACCAAGGCAAGCCAGCAGGATGGAATTTTCCCAAAAAAAGACAACCCCCCTTCCCCCACAAAATCAATAGAGATACTCCTGTCCTTCTTGATGCAGAGGAATCCCCTCACTCCAGCCAGAATGCTGGAACAAGGGCAGCTGACCTGGGGCAGGTCAAGGTGTCACCGTGGTTGGAGAGAGCAGAGGGGAAATGGTCTGTGCTTTATGGGGCAGGTCCTGGAGCCCCTGGCCTCCAAGATCCCAGTTCAGTGCTGGTGGGATCACATGGAGAAATCCTTAAATTTGAGTTCAAGTGCTGCTTCTTCTGTGACAAAGGGGAAAGGAGAGTGTGTGAGGCAGGAACACCCGTCCTGGGGTCTCCTCGACCACTCCACAAGAACCCTGGGTGGCCCAGGGCAGGACAGAGCAGGGGATGGTCCAGTGGGCCATGGGAGAGATGGAGGGAAGCTCCAGTGTGAGAGCAGGGCCTTACCAGCCCCCCTTGAACAGGAGAGACAGAGGAAGGAGCCTGCAGAATGTGCGTCCTTGGGGAGACACTCCTCGGTGGAGCCCCCAGACCTTCAAGGAGATGAGATTGTGCAAGATCATCCACTGCAGGACTGTCCTTGGAGCACAGGGGGAATCAGGGGCCTTGTGCAAGGGCAGAGTGTGCAACCCCCCCTGCTCTGCTCCATCACAGCGGCTCTGGCTGCTCCGAGCCTTGCTGGCTCCTCTCCATCCTGCAGGCCCAGCCTGAGCAAGCCCCAGTCCAGGCAGAGCTCGGAGGGCACAACCCAAGGGAAGGACAGACAGAGCCACAGCAGTGGGGTGACAAGTCCAGCCTTGGCTCTTTTGCCCCGTGACTTCCATTCTTGCTTCGTTTCTCCGTCCCAAGGGGATTAACTCGCTGCAGGAACCCAGCACGAAGTCCTGATGGGGGCCACGATGTCCAGAGCAGAGCCATGGGGCAGTGGAGTTTACAACTGGGGTTTGGAGAGTGTCAAAGGGAGCTGCAGCAGCTCTGTCTGGAAGCTGTCCAGTGGAGATCTTCCCAGGCCTGCTGTGCCTCACCAGATGGGACACGGCCAAGGAGCTCAGAGTGCAGCTCTCCAACCACTGGGGACACGTCCACAAGGAAAGGGGAGGCTGGGAGTACCAGGAAATCCTTCTGCAGTCCCCACAGCAGAGGTGTCTCACAAGTAATGGCTCCAGAGAAGCCCCTCTGTGTTGTGGTCCTGGCCAGCAGACACCAAATGTCCTCGTGGAGCGGAGAGGGCTCCTGCAGGAACCAGCCCGGGAGCAGCACAGCGACAGAGGCCACGTGGGCCCACGGTGGCAGCAGGGAACCGGGTGTCTCTGAGGGGTCAGGGGTCTCTGACCCCCAAAGTCCTCACAGCAGGGTGGGCGAGAGGAGAGATGAAACATTTCCTGTTCACTGGAGAACCATCGAGAAACATCAGCAGGAGGGCAGGTGGAGCTGCTGGTGCTCCCCAGAGCTGCTTCCTCACGGGAGCTGACAGTGCTCGAAGTACCAGACGCAGCATCGTCCACCCCGTTGGGTCAGGCACAAAGAAATCCCTGTCCTGGGCTGAGCTCCTGTGGGTGACCGAGTCCTGACAGCAGGGAGAGGTACCCTGACCTTCACCCTGCCCCAGCCTTCCAGTCTTTCTGCAGTTCCTAGTTTGACCCCGCAGGCAACCTCCTCCCACTCCAGAGCTTCACTGTCAAGTCGCTGGGAACAAAGGTGAGAGGGACAGCATGACCCAGGGGTCGGGGCAGGAGCCCCACAGACACTGCCCCACAGGGTGCTCGCTCCCCATCCCCAGCATGCAGCCCCCCACACTTCCAGGCCCTCTTCCCTTGGCAGGACGCTGTCTGAGGCACCTTGGGGAGAAGGCAAGAGCCCGATGGGGCTCAGCCTGCAGCTCACCCGCAGGCAGGAGCTGGGGACAAAGGAACGGGAGAACTCCAGGGCTGACCCCACACCAGGACTCCTCCCCGCCCTGAACGAGCTCCAGCTAGGTCCCAGCAGGGATATCCAGGGAGCATGGGCTGGTTTGGGGGGCTGCTGACTCCCAACCCACTAGCCATGCGAAGGCACGGACAGGCCACGGCTTCCCACTGAGTTGCCAAAGTAGATGTGGGCACTTGGCGAGGAAAAAAAACCAAAAAGAAGTGAAACCAAGGCAGGGCTATGACTGGGACAAGGGGCCGAGTCCATTCTAACAGAGACTTATCAAGTGGAAAAACGCAGAATAGTTTCATACCGTGAAGAAGCAGCTCAGACCAGAGAAAAAGGGGGGGAGGGAAAGAGAGAGAGGAGCAAAAGCAACAGTGAGAGGGACAGAGGGAGGGAGAGATGGAGAGAAAAGGGAAGGGGAGACTGAAGAGGAGCATATGAGCAAGAGAGTCAAAGAGCAGGAGGGTCAAGGCAGACTAGTAGCACGGCCCTTTATGGCAAGGACGCGTCGTGGAAGGCAAGGGGTGAGCCCAGGCACGTAATTCCATAACTTTACCCGGCAGTCGCTGTGGCACAGATGGGAGGTGGGGAGAAGGAGAGGCAGAGAGAGACAGAGAAAAAGGAAGGGAGAAAAGGGACAGGGTCGAAAAGAGGATATCAGAGTCTTGCTGCTGAAGAGCTCCCCGAGAGCAGCAGACAATGCCCAGCCCCGAGGGAGAGGGGTCCCTGCATGGGGAGTAACCCAGGGCAGCACCAGAGCGTGGGCAGGGGATGGCCAGGGACAGCTCTTGGCACTGCAGTGGGCAGGCCTGGCCGTGGGCAGGCTGCAGTGGGCAGGAGGAGATGAAGGAGGAGAGGGACTAAACAGCTGCCATTCCCTCCCCGCTCCCCGCTGGCCCAGCACCCGCCCAGGCCCAGGGGTGACAGCTCAAACCCAGGGTCTCCCCCTGCCCAGGGGCCGTGGGGCAGAAGCGGGGCTCACCTGGAGGCAGTGAAGATGTGCTTGGAGTTGGTGCAGATGGCGTTGATGGGGCTGTCGTGCCCCTTGATCTCCCCGACTGGGGTGAAGCTGTCCACGTTCCACACTTTGATGACGCCGCCTCGGCAGGCGCTCAGCACCATGGGGCGGCCGGGGATGAAGGCCAGGGCACACACCCAGTCTTTGTGGGCATTGGGGATTTGCTGTAGGCACAGAGCACAGCCATGACCCACCATGCACCATCCTGGGTGGCTCCTCACTGTCTCAGGGAGCTCAGGTCCTCACTGACACCCCGGGACTGACTGGGACCGTGGAACTGTGGTGCCCAGGTAGGAGCCAAGGGTATGGGCTCAAAAGTCATGGTTTGGTTTCTCCCTTGGGCAGGAGACAACAACCAGAGTTCAGGGTGGAACACAAGCGCCCACACTGCAACTGATGCCTCAGCCTGTCTGAGGGAGAGCCAGCGATCCCAAGCACCCTGCTGGACAAATTATGGGGGCACAGCACACCCTCACCCCACACAGCCCAGGACTGGAAGTGCCCTCCCTGGTGAGCTCCACTGGCACTAGGTGCCTGGACAACCCCCCCAGCCCCAGCAGCAACCCCCCTCTGCCCTGTGCTCCCCTCCAGACCTGGATAAGTTCCTGCTGCTCCAGATCCCACTTCTTTATGCCGTTGTCCCTGGAGCCACTGAAGAGGACATCTCCCTGGATGGCCAGGCACTCGATGCCATCGTAGTGAGGGGGCTCGAAGTTGTGAGTGGGGCCAATATTGCCCCCCATGCCCTCCGTGATCTCAAACACCTGGGGAAGAGCAGCAGGTAACAGACCACAGATGGCACTGGGGACTCCCTCTCCAGGGGAGTTTGGCCACCACCCTCTGTGCTCCAGGCTCAGGGCACCTAGAGTGATGCTGGAAATGGGACTGGGCATTGGCTGCTGGGGGCTTTTGGGGCTGAGGGTCCTGCCACCAGCAGAGGAGATCTGCCACCAGGGACAGCCTCACTCTGCTGCATTTTACTCATGGTGAGCCTTCACACTCCTCTGGAGCCAAGCTGACAGCTGAGTGGGATCCTGTGTCACTCACCATCTCACTACCCCTCCTCACTTCCCTGGGGACAGCTCTAATTCAACCTGCTAAAACCTGAAAGGAGGGGACAGGCTCCTGCTGTGCTGAGCTGTCACTGGGCAGGCACAAGGCATCTTTATCAGGGAGATTATCAAACATAACAGGGTGAACTGCTCATCAGGGTCAGCCCTCACATGCAAATCCCAGCCAGACAGTCTGATGCATGAGACAATGCAACTTCTTCTCCAAAGATGCATTGTGGAGCAAGCAAAAGGCAAGATTTGGGAAGAGGAAACAAGTGAAAACCTGACATGCAGTGGTGAGAACAGAATCTGGGCTCAGCTTTCAGGAGAAGAGAAGAGTGAGGGTTGCCAACATCTGGGGTTCCCTACAGGACTGGGGGTGCTGCTCCCCAGGGAGCAGAGTACCTTGACGTAGTGATCCTTGGAGCCGGTGACCACCAGGTCGTGGTTGCTCGCCGTCTGGTTCACTGTCAGACACATCACCGGCCCGATGTGGCCACTCAGCTTTCCCACGGGCTGCAGCCTGGGGGAAGGGCACAGCTCAGCCCTGCTGGAGCCCACCCAAAGGTGCCCCCAGCACAGCTCCCCCGGCCCCGCGGGGCTGCTCCTGTGGGGCACAGCGGGCAGGGAGAGCCCGTTCCCCATGGTTCCAGGGCAGGAGGGCGGCTGGGAGAGTGCCAACAGCTGGCACTGTGAGAGTGCCAACAGCTGGCTGTGCAGGGTGAGAGTGTGCCAACAGCTGGCACTGTGAGAGTGCCAACATCTGGCTGTGCAGGGTGAGAGTGTGCCAACATCTGGCTGTGCAGGATGAGAGTGTGCCAACATCTGGCTGTGCAGGGTGAGAGTGTGCCAACATCTGGCTGTGCAGGGTGAGAGTGTGCCAACAGCTGGCTGTGCAGGGTGAGTGTGCCAACATCTGGCTGTGCAGGGTGAGAGTGTGCCAACATCTGGCTGTGCAGGGTGGGTATGGAAACATCTGGCTGTGCAGAGTGAGTGTGCCAACAGCTGGCTGTGCAGGGTGAGTGTGCCAACATCTGGCTGTGCAGGGTGAGTATGGAAACATCTGGCTGTGCAGGGTGAGTGTGTGCCAACATCTGGCTGCACAGCCTGAGTGCCAACATCTGGCTGCACAGGGTGAGTTTAGTATTTACGTTTTGGTTCAAACTGTTTTACCAGTTTTTAGAGATTTTTGAGGGTTTTCTCTTTTTTTCTGGGGATTTTTTTTCTAGCTTGCAGCTGTACATTATCTCTGTTTCTTCAGGGAGGTCTTGACTTTAACAGGTGTGCTCACATGAGGCACCAGTAAAAAAAACAGTAAAATTCTGGGTTTTTTGGTTGTTTGGGTTTTTTTTTGTTGAGATTGGGATTGAAGGTACTTGAGATAACAGTCTGTGTTTAGATTTAAATGTTCATTTTTTAAAATTTATGTTATAATCTCACAGGTAGTGAGTTTTGTAGTATTTTACTAATAAGGTACAAAATGGTTAACTATTATTTGTTATAAGGTTTTTTAAGGTTAAATTGTCTAATTAAGAAATTATATTCAAATTATAGTTACTTTTAATTTACTAATTAATTATTTGAAGTCTGGAAAGTGGACTTTTTTGTCTAATTATAAAATATTACTTAAAATTATGAAGAAGAAGTACTAGTTTATGTTCTAAAACTCTTATCTTGTTCTATATATATTATTATATTCTAAACCTTTCTATTTTATGTTTTTTATTTTGTGATATTATATACTTTTAATTAAACTACATTGTACAGCCTGAGTGTGTGCCAATATCTGGCTGCAGAGCCCAGGGTGCCGCACTGGGCAGGTGGAAGGACAAGGGAAAGACAGGGTCCTGCTGCTCATTCCACTTGTCTTTTCCCTTCTGCTAAGCTCTGCCCAGTGCACAGACAAACCCCCCACACAGCTCCAGTGCTGCTCATCACCTCTTGGGTCACAACTGTAGATCTTAAATTTAGAAATCTTAAATATTAAGATTTTTTTTAAATTTTCTTTTAATCTTAAGATTTATGATCTTAATAAATATTAATTTTTTAAAAAATTTAAAATATTAAATTAAAAAATCTTAGATTTAAGATTTAAGAAAATCTTCAACTGAAATCTTAAAATCTTAAAAAATCTTCACGATTTTTTTAAAACCAAAACCACTACAGTCCCAGAGGAAAGGGTCCTGAAAACCCGTATTCCAGGTAAGTTCTGCTGTGAAAAAGGCTTTCATTTTTCCCTCTCCGGTCCCTCTGAGCCGGGCCAGCAGCCCCTCACCTGCTGAGCTCCCAGACACGGACGGTGTTGCCGGCGGCCGCGTAGAGCGCGGTGCCGCCCGGGTTGAGCGCGATCTGGTTGATCTGGTGCTCGCCCTGCACGCTGGCCACCGTGCGGCTGCTGGTCCCGGCACACGCATCCCCAGAGATCACCTGCCCAGAAGACCTAAAGGAGAAAGGTGGGTCTCAGATTCAGTCAAAGAGAGAAACGGAGAGTTTCTAGCCAGGCAGAAGCCTGGGAAAGAGTTGGAGAAGAATGTAAATAATTCTTTATCTCTCTTGTTGTTCACATTGTTTATAGTTAAGTTCTATCACTGTGTGTCAAGCACTGTACACCAATGGGGTGGATTGTTTTCACTTCAGGACCAATGGAGTTGGTCCTCATAAAGCTCTGTATAAAAGAGCAGTGTGTTTTGAATAAACCTGAGTTTTACTCTCAGCAGCCTTCTGATCTGAGTCTCTTCATTCCTGTCCTGCCTCGACAGTGACAGAGGGAGAGTTCAAAGGGGGTGACGCCTTGTCAAGGCTGAACAGAGCCCAGAGCTGTCGGAGCCCAGCACATCCCTCTGGCTGCCCTGGCTGTCCCCAGACCCTGGCAGGGGGCTCTTGACCTTGGCACGAAGTCAAAAACATCTCTGGCTTCGATTTGAGCCCATGGAAAATGCTGCCAATTCTGTGTGAGGAATTACAAACCACAAGGGTTTGAGTATTGTGATATCTGAACTAACACAGGGTGAAAAATTAGAATTTTGGGGTTTTTAGAATGTGATTCAGGGAGTACAAGATGGAGGGATTTGGGCGTGTCCTGACCTACTTCACCTTCTTCTTGCCCTCCGTGTCTTGCTGTGATGGTGACACTTTTTATTGGTTTAAGGTAGAGACACACTGTCCAACATAAATGATAGACATTGGCACATTATTGTAAATATAGCACAGGTAGTTTTTGGTATAAAATGCAAACACTGCCCTGAGGGCAGACAGAATGCCATGGCCAACCTGCTGGACAGAGCTCAGCAGGTCAGAGAAAGAATGTTATAGATAAGGAAAATAAACAACTTGAGAAGCTGACCCTACACATTCCGACTCCTTTGGCTGCATGGGCTGGGAAATGAGGACTTTTACATTCTCAGGGTCACCTCAACACCCAGACCCCGAGAGAGTAGAGACTGGACTGGGCTAAAGAATAAAGTAGGGATTTTTTAGGAGGCCTCAATGGATCCACCTTGGGCAGCACAAGAGCCCAGCAGTTCACATTTTTGCTGGGGCAAAGTAACCTCATAGAAATACCACTACTATAGTAGAATTGTGCCTAAAGACAAAAAAGCTTTTATTCTCTATTGCAGCTTTTTAGATACTCAAGGAACTTAGTATACATTTCTGCTAAAAGCTAAAGTCTATAATCTAAATCTATATTTCTATTTCACTTTGTAGCTTCATCTAGCTCAGTTTCTCCAGAGGTTTCAGTTCAATCCTTGTGCTTAGATTTGCCTCTGGGCCTGTGCCCTGAGGGGCTTGTATTCCAACACCAGCCAGGGCTACACCCAAGATGAACCAAAATGGTCACAAAATGCACAACTGGTCACGAGGTCTCTCATTTTTATAAGTTTTGGTCCATTAGCATATTGGAGTTCATTGTCCAATTCCAGCTTTAGCCCATGAAGTCCCATCCTGCTTGTTTTTCTCTCTTCAGCCCACGTTGTTTATGCTCTTGGGCCTGAGATTTGGATTGGTTGTCCTTGGCCCCCAGCTGGAGAAGGAATTGTTTTGTCTCCCTACTCTGTGAAGAGAGCTCAGCATCCCCTCACATGGAGCCCAGACCCACACACTAAAGCAGCACAGAATGTGAAAAACATAAAAGCTAAGCCTGAGGCATCAGGGAGGATGAGTCCAGAGCCTCAAGAAGAAGAAAAAGGACAAGACACACCCAATTTCCTCCATCTTGTCCCCTTTGAACCCCTAATCTAGAATCCTAAAATTTTACTTTTGCACCCGTGCCACACTTAATTATTACTTATATCAAACACTCAGAGCTTGTAATTGATCCTGTAAGATTGAAAACTTTTTTCCATGGACAGAGATCACAGACAGTGTCTCTGGGGGCTCTGTCCAGGGGGGTTCGTGACCCCTGCCAGGGTCCCAGACCTGCCAGGGCAGCCAGAGGGAAGCCCTGGATTCCCAGTTTCCAGCTGAGCTTCCTCTGCTCTCCTCTGTGCCTCTCTGCTTCCCACAGGAAGAGCAGATGATTGCTGGCATCCAGCACAGGGAAGCAGCGGTCTTGGCCTCTGTGCCATGAGAGAAGCCAAGGCAGATGAGCTGAGGCTGGATGGAGAAAGGAGACCTGTGCCAGAGCAAGTGGGTAACTCTGACCTACCATACTGTCCTAATTTTTGTGCCCTCCTCCAGGCTGGCAGCCACAGCTATTGTCTGCTCCACACTCCTTTCTGCTCCTCCAACTCCTCACAGAGACCCACGTTGAAGAGCCTGTGATTTACCCAGCCACGATGCTGTTTGGGGCTGCGTCCCTCCACAGGAGATGCCAGCTCTCCTGGCCACCCCCAGAACAGCTGCAAAATCCCTTCACAGCTCCTGACCCTTAACAAGTGCTGGATTCTGCAGCTGGGACACAGCAACCCTGGCTGTGGGTATACAGCAGGGAACAGAGGCTGGAGAGCAGCTGTGGGGAGGGATTTGGGCATCCTGGTCTGTGGGAAGTTGAATATGAGTCTGCAGTGCCCTAGCAGCAGGAGGGACATCCATGTCCCGGGACACACCAGGCACAGCGTTGCCAGCTGGTCAAAGGAGGGGACTGTCCTGCCTGCTCTGCACTGGGGCAGCCTCACCTCAAGCCCTCAGGGCAGTTTTGAGCACCACAATATAAAAAAGACATTAAGCCATTGGAGAGCATCCTAAGGAGGGCCATGAGGTGGTGAAGGGTCTGCAGGGGAACCCTTGTGAGGAGCAGATGAGGTCACTTGGTTTGTTCAGCCTAGAGGAGACCTCACTGGGGTCTTCAACATCCTCATGAGGGGCAGCAGAGGGCCAGGTACTGATCTATTCCCTCTCATGACAAGTGACAGGACTCGAGGGCATGCTGGAGCTGAGCTGGGAGACATTTAGGTTGGATGTTAGGAAAAGGTTCTTCCCCCAGAGGGTGTTGGGGCACTGAGCAGGCTCCCCAGGAAATGGGCACAGCTCCGAGCCTGTCTGAGTTCAAGAAGTGTTTGGACAATGCTCTCGGACACTGGGTGGGATTGCTGGTGTGTCCTGCACAAGGCCAGGAGCAGACTTGATGACCCTGATGGGTCCCTTCCAACTCAGCATGTTCTGTGATTTTATGACCCTGAGTCTTTGCTGCAGGAAGTCCCATGAGTTCCCTCACCCCAACCTCTCCCAACCTCCCTGTTCCCTAAGGAAGCAGCACTGCAAACTGGCACTAAGGAGCTGGTATCTGGCCGTGTCCCCAGCCCCTGCAGGTTCTGGAAATGCCTTCTGCAAAGCCAGAGAAGCCCAGGGTGCCCAGGTCCCCCAGGGCTGCACGTACGTGAGGGTGCGGACGCAGCGGGCGGAGTCGCGGATGTCCCACACCTTGATGTACGACGTGGACACGGTGAACACCAGCCCCGTGTGGCTGCAGTACTTGATGGAAACCACATTGTTTGGGTGACCCTTGAGAGAAGCGATTTCCTGGCCTGTCACCAGGTTCCACATTTTGCAGCTCCGGTCTGTGGGAGGAAGAACATGCCCAGGAGTGTTGGGGGTGTCTCCTCCAAGGGCATGGTGGCCTGGGGACAATACACCTTCTGAGCATCTCCCCCCACCCACAGGCCCAGAGGGGCAGGGCAGGGCTCAACACTGAAGACAGAGACCATCCCTGTAACGCCCAACACTTCCATGCTCCCAATGCCAACCTGCTGCCACAGCACCTGCATCCTCCCGGCCCCCTCTGCCCACCACCCACCTTTGGAGCCGGTGAAGAGCAGCTCGTCGGTGGCATCCAGGCAGAGCACAGGCTTGGTGTGTCCCTCTGCCACCGAGACACACTGCAGCGGGGCTGTCCGGGCGTTCTTGGTGCCACCCACCGGGTTAATGATGCCCCTTCACGGGAGAGAGAGAACAGCTACAGCGCAGGTGGAGAGGCACGGTGCCCACAGGCCCAGGGCACGGAGGAGCGTGAGCTGCCTCACACTGAGCATCTCCCACTGCCCAGCACTGAGACGGGCTGCTCCACCTGGAGGTGGCACATCTGAGCTCTCTGTGGAAACCTCCCCATGGGCAGCCCCTGCCATCAGGGAGGCTGCCCAGTGACCTCTGCTCTCCCCCCAGACCTCTCCTGCCTCACCAGCACAGACCCAGGACAGTTCAGGAGACTCAGTTCCTTGGCCCCGAGGTCCATTTTGGGGCAAACTGTGCCCTCTCCAGCCTGAAGCCGAAGCTCTGCTGGGATAATGTTTCAGAGTGCCACTATCAGCACCCCCACCCCTTGGAGGCTGTCACCCTTTGGCTGGTGACATTTGAAGACAGGGCCTCACTCCTTTACACAGCTCACAAGGGTGACAAAGGGCAGCACCAGCACCTGCACCCCACGTCTTGCTGCAGTGGCTGCTCCTGCACCCACTGCCGGCTCTGGGCAGGAGAGCACCTACCCCTGCCACCCCTGCTGCCAGGGAATGCTGCTGTCTGTCCTGGGGAACACATCACTGCCAGTCCCCTCCACCTCAGACATGCTCAGGGTGCTGAGCACCACCAGCCTGACCCTCTCACGTGTGACCCCCAATGTGCCTGGTCATCAAGCACAGCCACAAGACCCCGAGTTGTGCCAGTCTCTTCTTACAGGCAGGGAAACTGATGCATGGGGCTAGAGAAGGGCAGGGTTTGCATTAGTCGTGAGGACAAGCACAGGCTCATTAATTTGGGTTTGGAAATCACATGCATGTGATGTTCCTCAGCTCTGCACTTATCAATGCCAAGCCAACAGCCTTCCCCTCACCCCCAGTGCTGCCACCAGCCTCAAAGCAACACTGAATCCAAGGAGAAACCCCTGCACTGCATCTTCCATGGACTTTGAGGGGCTCCCTGACTACAAACTGCCCAGGGTGACCCTGCTCAGACTGGTCTGGAGTCACCTCCCCAGTGACAGGGGCCTGCAGGAGCTCAGGGCACAGGCAGAGGGAGGGGACCCCTTGGTGCTGGACAGCTGGCCATGGAATCAGGGAATGGTTTGGGTTGGAAGGGCCTTTAGATGCCGTCTCATTCTGTGCCTGTGCCATGAGCAGGGACATCTTCCACTATGCCAGGCTGCTCCAAGCCATGTCCAACCTGGCTTTGGACACTCCCAGGGATGGGGCAGCCACAGCTGCTCTGGGCATCCTATGCCAGGGCCTCACCACCCTCACAGGGAAGAATTTATTCCTAATATCTAGTCCAAATCTCTCCTCTTTCAGTTTTAAACTGTTCCCCCTTGTCCTGTCACTATTTGCCCAGGTAAAATGTTGCTCTCCCTCTTTGTTACAAGCCCCTGTAGGCACTGGAAGGCTGCAATGTTCCTAAAGAATGGGGGAGATGTGGCCCTTGTTCTGGGAAAGCTCTGCAGTGAGATGGATGCAGGGAGAGAAGCCCAGGAGAACCTTAACTCCAAGGCTGAGCTCTGCACCACACTCTGACTTGATTTCTTTAGGGAAGAGACTGACCTTTTCCAACTCAGCACCAGGGAAGCACAACCAGGCAGGAGGTGAGCCTGAGATAACTGCCTGGAAGACGCTTGCACAAAGGACGTGCTGCAAGCACCCTTCCCCACCATCCCACCATTCTGCTGGAGAGCTGGGGAAGGGCTGGGACGTGGTGGCCTCATGCTGGCAAGAAACCATCAGAGATGGAGGAGAACATGCTGCCAGGCCAGAGCAGCCAGCACACCCGTCAGTGAGCCCAGCACCACGTCCCAAGGGCTAATCCAAGCAGGAGCAGCTGGAACTTGCAGCTGAGGGACAGCATCAGGCACCAGAGGTGGCATGCCGGGGGGGGACAGACACACAGGGGATGGGGGAGAGCAGCAAGCTGCAGGCAGAGCATGCAGGGACAGGGAGAGCAGGCACCTGACAGAGAGAAGGAGGAGCAGAGGAAGGGATAATAAATAGAAAGTTGTCTATACCTCAGCACCTCCGAGACAGAGGAATCGCTGTCATCAGACCTAGGGGCAGAAAATTAGCAGGATTATGGGAGAGAAAACCCAGACTAGATAGAGAAGGCAGCAGTGGAGTCAGAGGTGGAAGATTGTTATTGCATCCAAGCCAGTGTAGGACAGAGAGGAGTGGAGGGAAGGAGAAGGAGAAGCACACATGGAGAACCAGGGGAGAGCAGAAGAGCAGGAGAGCTTGTGAGGATCAGACAGCAGGTCTACATCAGGGAACACCAGCACTGCTAGCAAGCCCAGAGCAGCACCTGACCTGCGCCAGGAGAGGCTGGAGCAGCATTTGTGGCTGGATGCCAGTCCATCAGCTTCCTTTGAGCCCTCATCCCCTCACCCCATCTCATCTTTCCCATCCTGCTCCCTCGTTTTTCCAGGGCTCCAAGTCTGGCACCACCCTGTCTCCGGGCAGAGGCCAGGACTGAGCTCAGAGGGGGCACAGTGGGCAGCAGCACAGCCCTGGCGTGGCAGCTGCTCCATCCCAGGGAGAAGCAGGGAGGTGCAGTGGTGACAGGACAGTGGCTGGAGCCAACCCAAGCCCTGCTGTTGCTATGTAGCCCCACAGGACTCAGTCCATGCCATGTGCTATCCTGCTCTGGGCTCCCCTTGCTCAGGCACTCTCACCCCAGCAGCACTTACTTGTCCAAGGCAGATCCCTGGCTCTGGGTGCTCGTGAGACGGGAGAAGACGTTGCGGTCGTTGCGCGGACGGGTGGGTGGGGATGAGGGTGGTGTGAAGCCAATGTCTGCAGGCCTGAGCCAAAAGGATCAGAGGGACACGTGACTTGGGAACTGCTCACCTGGCACCTGACTGGGCCCAGAAAGAATCCTGGGCCACACAGCCCCTCCTGCCCGTGTCACCATCTCTCCCAAGCTCACCTGGCAGGTTGCCCACGGTCATAGGATTTCCGCCTGGTCAGAGGCGAAGTGTCCGAGCCCCGGGACTGCCTGGGACTGCAGCAGGTGAACAAAGCACAGTGGGTGCCTGCCCCAGCACCGTGGAGGATCCCTCCACAATGAACACCTCTGTCCTCCCCCAGCAGAGCAAGCTAGAGATTGGGCTGGAGTCACAATCCTGAGGCAGCCCATGAGTGCAGAGGCTTTTGGCAACCCAAGACACCTTCAAAAAGGCTGATCACCCAGAGCAGGGAGTTGGGGACCCTCGTGCCCCCCTTCTTTCCCTGCTCCTGAATTATCCTCCTCCCCATCTGCAAATGACACCAACATACTCCTACACACTCTCCAAGCCTCGCTGAGAAAATTCACCACGGCATGCTGTAGCCAAGCATGGATAGATGCAGGATTGGGCTCCCCTTCACCCCTCTGCACCTCCAGAGGCCAGGCACAGCTTCCCCCAGCCAGGCCCATGCCTCCTTGAGCCTCCCAGTGCCCAGCCACTCGTGGCCCACGCTCACAAGGTGCTTCCTCGCGTGGGCAGGCTGATGGTGCGCGACACCTTCTCCTTGTAATAGGGGTCCCGGATGGAGAAGCCGATCCCGTCCTCTTTGATCTCCATGAGGGATGCCAAGGACTTGGTGATGTTCTTGGTGGAGACGTCCAGCGTGGGTCCCAGACACTCAGCTGACACTGCCTTCATCTGCCCCGAGAGCTTGGGCTCTCCCTAGAGCAGGGCAGAGGGCTCAGGGCTGCAGCACGGGGGGCACTGGGAGCAGTCAGCAATGTGGGGTGGAAGAGTTTGCACTCTCTGGCCACAAAGCAGCTCCCCCACGTCCCACTGGGATGCCCATCACAGCCAGCTCTCCAGCAAACATGACAGCCTGTACAGGACAATGGCTGCTTCCCTCCACGGGGACACCCTCGGTGCCTCTCAGATTTGGAAGGTGCCGCCTGCTGTGCTGGATGTTTCCCAGGTCTCTGTACCAGGAGAGCTTGGTTCTGCCCATCCTGAGAGCAGGCATACTGCCTGATGCCAAGCCTGGCTCCCCAAGGTTCAGACTGCAGAGTAGAGGCCTGAAGCATCACTGAACATCCCTCCATCCCTCCTCCCTCTCTCTGTGACCAGGACACACAGAAAGGCCAACTAACCTTGAACTTGAAGTCATCCTGGCTTGCTGAACCCTTCATGGTGAAAGACTGGGAGATGCTGCAAGGAGAAAAGAGCAAAGATGGATCTTCAGTGCCAAACTCTCTCCAGAAAGCTGGTGCCACTGGTCCACCAGACTTCTTGGGTCACCCTCTGCTCCCCAGCACCCCTTCTCCAAGGAATGACCAAGCCTTCCCTCCCTGCTCGTGTCCAAGAGACATCCTGCTCCCTCCACCAAGGGCTGGGCACCAAAGAAAAGCTCAGGTGGGGCCTTGTTCACCCATGGCCCTCTATGAGGTCCATGAATGACATCAGGCATTGTGCCCCAGCCACCACCACCTTAGGCTGTGCCAGGCTGGCTGCTCACCTCCCATCTGAGGCCAGGCTGAACTCTGAAACCTCCTCGTCCGTGCTGGTGTAGCCGTTCTCTGCGAGAGGGAGACAGTGCATCAGCAGAGGGGACCCCACTGCCACCAGCCCCACCCGACCCCCGCAGCAGAGCGGGCAGCCCAGGGAGGTGTGCGGGTGACCCAGCCCTTGTCCCTGCTACCCATGGCCAGGGCACATGCTCCCACCCACCGCGGCCCTTGGGGCAGGGTCCCAGCCACAGCACCTCCAGGTGCTTTCTGCAGGGCCAGGACGGGCGGGCAGCCCCCCACAGGCAGCACACCTGGCCTGAGGATGCACCTGCCTGCGGCCCCACCTTGCTGCACGTTGTGGATCAGTGCCTGCAGCTCGGGGTGCGACTCAGCCTTCTCCCTCAGGGCGTCCAGCAGCGCGTGGTTCTGCGAGGAGCTGGCCACGTCCGTCTGCCGCAGGCGCCCCTCCAGCAGCCGGATCTGGGCCTCCTTCTGGGCCACCTGCAGCCCCTGCGGGAGAAATGCTGGCACTCAGGCAGGTGCCACAGGTCCTTGCCACCAGCTCCCCACCCTGGCACCCAGCAAGGAACCCTGCCACACATCCACCCCCAGCCCTGCCCCACACCTTGTCGATGGAGGCTTTCAGGAAGTTGTCCAGCAGCAGCCGGGCTTCGGCCAGGGAGCAGGAGCTGATCACCACCGAGGTGTCCGTGGAGTCCAGCTCCTCCTGAAACACGGACAGACAAGGGCTGGATGCAGCAGGGTAGTTTTGCTGCTGGACGTGGGATGGCTGGAAGGGCCTCCATGGCAAGCACAGCACTTCCATCACCCTGCAAGCAGTGCCCAGTGCAACCCTCACCTCCCCAGCCTGCCCAGTGGCTCCGGGGAAGATCTGGCCATGGGACTGTCCAGCGCTGAAGGGCTTATGCACTGCTACAGAGATTTTGGTTCCAACACAAAACTAGACACTGAGCAGACACCGGGCTCACCCAAATCCACACCACAAAGCCTAGTGTGAATTAATAGCAGCCCTTCTTCCCTGCTAATCAAGGTGACAGCTGCCAGGGAAAGCACACAGCCTCCATTTCAGGCTGCAGGCATTCAGGCAAACTGGGAGCTGCCCAGTGGCATGCCCAGTATCACAACTGGACACAAAACCTACGTGGTTCCTGCTGGGAAACCTAGGATGTTTCCATCCTAGTCCTCCTAGGATGTTTCCAGTGCATGAAGCAACAAGTGACCACCAGCCTCATGTGTCCCCATGTGTCACAGGCTCCCTACAATTCCAGGGCAGCAGGACACCAGCACGTCCATGGACATGCAAGGACCTGCCAGAACTCCTCTCTGTAATTAATCACCTAATGAGAAGAGACTGTGTGGGTGAAGCCCCAGCCAGAGTGACAGCTCAAAGGACTCTGGGTCCTCTGAGCAGAGCCCAGCCCCAGCTGGCTGTGCCCAAGGATGCTCTTTCCACAGAGGGATGCTCTCATTTTCTCCCTGCTAGCCAGATCCAGTCCTACTGCCCACCTTGGTCTCCTCAATCTGCATGATGGTGGCCTGGCAGTCTGAAATGCTGTCGTTGATATAGTCAATGTTGGCCCCCAGCACCTCAATTTCCTCGTTCAGCTCTTGCAGACCCTTCTGCTCCTTGGGGCTCTCTGCCTGCAGCTTTGCCCGCTTGCCCAGCAATGCCTCCTGCAGCAGTGATAGCTCCTCACGTTTCTGGGGGAAAAGGGAAGGGGATTAGCACTGTCCACACGGCCACCTCCCTGTCCTGCACCCACCACCCAGCCCTCTCTGTCCCCAGTGCTACAGCCACCTTGATGAGCCTCTCCATGTCTGCCTCCAGGTTGACAATGGTCATTCTCTGCATGACAATGTCAAAGATGCGCCGCTCCAGGGACTGCCACTTGAGGCGGGCAGCTTTGCTGAAGGTCTGGCTCGTCCCCTTCTTGGGGAACTTCTTCCTACAGTCAGAGGGAAAAAGAGGCATATGGGCACATGGCCACACCGTGCTGGAGGGCCAGGCTTGCCCCAGATCTGGGATCTGGCTGGCCAGAAACAGAGGATTCATCTGTGTTGTTTCCGCATTGCCCCACTTTTCCTCCTAGCAAAGCGGGACAAGAGATGAGTCCAGCAGGGTTTGCGCCACAGCATTTAATCCTCATGGAAGGCCAGCTTTGAGATCAAGCCCAAGTGACAGTCACACTGCCAGCACAGCTTATCACAGGGTCACTGGTTTAATGTGGCTCAAGTGGGCACTAAGCAGCCACTAAGCTACCCTTCAACCTCCAGCACCAGCCAAAAGCCAGGCATGGGGCTCCCTGGGATGTCTCACCCCCCACCACCCAGCCCCTGCCCTGACCTGGCAGGCCGAGCCCCATTAATGGAGGACGAGGGGTCTCCCAGAAAGTTGTTGATTTTCCTGTTCCACTGGCGCACAATGCTGGAGACGGAGCGAGCGCCAGACTCGGGCTCGGAGGAGGTGGTGCTGGCCGAGACCTCGGCGCCCGAGTCCATCATGGCCGGCTTCTGGCTCATCCTGCCTGCCACCCGCTCTGACATGGGCTTGGCCAGACGGCGCAGTGCTGACACCTGCCCGGAGGAAGGACAGAAGAGAAGGTGTCAGCTGAGCAGCCCCACCCAGCCTAAACCCACTGGCATCACCCCCAGGTCCCCACAGGTCTGAGAGCGGCAGCTGCGCAGACCCAAAGCCCAGGACATTTGTGCCTCATGGAGTTCCCTCTCCTCCCTCACAGCCCACCCCTGCCACCAGGCTCTGCTGCTCGGGATGGGGAACTCTGCTGCTGCCTACATCCACTTCCCACCCAGTTCCTGAGCTGTAAAACCTCTCCCTGCATTTTGGGGACCCCATTCCCAAAGCCAGCCCTCTCTAAAAGATGGGATTTCTCCAAGCCAAGCACTGGGGCCCAGACCTCCATGGAAGCTGGCGGCTATGTGGACGAAAACCCCCTTTCCTCACCTCCTGGGTTTTCCTCCGCAGCACTATTTCCTGCTGTCGCTTCTGAGATTCCAGAGCCCTGATTTGGAACTGCACAAGAAAAAGACACCCCTGAGGTCCAGCCTGGACATTCTCACAGTCCCAGTGCTCCCTTTGGCACAGTCTCACTCCCAAGGCTCCCAGCCTTGAGCTGGCTCTGGCTGCACATTCCCCATTCCCACAGCATCCCCCACAGCTCCAGCAGGAGCAGAGGGAAGCCTTCAGGAGTGTTCATCCAGCTGTGCTCTGCTAGGACCTCCGGCAAGGCTCCACCAAGCTTCCAGGTATCTGTGATCACCTGGAGTGCCAGTGTAGGTCTCAGATTCAGTCAAAGAGAGAAACTGAGAGTTTCTAGCCAGGCAGAAGCCTGGGAAAGAGCTGGAGAAAAATGTAAATAATTCTTTATCTCTCTTGTTGTTCACATTGTTTATAGTTAAGTTCTATCACTGTGCCTCAAGCACTGTGCACCAATGGTGTGGCTGGTTTTCACTTCAGAACCAATGGACTTGGCCCTCACAAAGCTCTGTATAAAAGAGCGGGGTATTTTGAATAAATCAGAGTTTTACTCTCAGCAGCCTTCTGATCTGAGTCTCTTCATTCCCGTCCTGCCTCGACAGCGACACGCCAGAGCAGGACAAAGCCCACCTCCCCATCCAGCCCAGCTCCCTGACTGGGCCGTGGCACCAGCCAGGCTCTCACCTCCTGCCGGCGCTGCTCCTTCTTGAGCTGCGCGATCTCCCGGTTCCTCTTGGTCTCCGCCAGCCGCCGCCGCTGCTGCTCCTCCCGCATCTGCTTCATCAGTGCCACCTGCGAGGGGCTGTGTGTGTGCCTCTGCCCCGGGCACCCACCCACCAGCACACAGTGCTCTGCACTGGCCACCAGACTGCAAAGCACTGCTCCAAGCAGGGATTTGGGCTTGTCCAGGTGATTCCTCCCCGCCCTGGCACGTCCAGCTACCTTTGCCTTCTTCATCTCGGCCACTTCTGCCTGCAGCTTGCGCAGCTCCCGCTCGTAGCGGGACTGGTTCTTGAGCAGGCGAGCGTGCTCCTTCTGGGCTGCCTGCAGCTTCTGCAGGTCCCGGTTCATCTCCTTCAGCCGCTTCTCATAGTCTGCCTTGATCTTGTTGGCTTTCTCCTCCGTGTAGCACTCCATGGTGCCTGGTGGGTGGGGAGAGCTCGCAATGGCCATGCAGCCCCGGATCCTCCTGTACCCACACCCCTGCCTGGAGGCAGCAAGCCCTGTGTCCCTCCCCGTCCCACCAGAGCCCCCTCACCCCACGGTGACCTGGGGTCTGTCTGGGAATACCCACTGGAAGAGCTGAGCCCAGAGTGGAGATACAGTGGCTGGGCTGAGCAGAGCTGCAGGCTGGGACACACAGCCACACAGACGGGTGACCCTGCCCTATTTAAGCCTGGAGATCAGCCTCACCACTGGGTGTTTTGCCCCTCAGTTCCCCGAGTCCCCCCAGCTCATGAACTGGTGCTCAAGGCTGGAAGAGGCTTTGCCTCACCACCCTTCTCCAGCACCAGCAGAGCCCAGAGCTGTGCAGCTGACTGATACTGCTCCCATGGCACAACAAGGAGAGTCTTGGGGGTGCCAGGGATTTAAGGGGAAGCAGGGGGATGACAAAGCTCTACCAGAGCAAGGGGTGGGTGCTTTGACTTAAAGTGAGCTGGGCTGGAGCTGGAACTGGGGTCTGAGGCTGTCAGAATGGGATCCCATGGGTGAGGCAGTTCTCACTGAGGTTTTGTAGGACCCGGTCCCGCTCCAGCTGCGTGTCCCGAATCTTGTTCTGCAGTAGGATCAGCTTCTCCTCATACTGGTGCTTGAGGGTCTGCAAACGCCGCTGGCTGTTCTCCAGCTCATCAATCAGCTTCTGCTTGATCTCAATCTCACAGGTCAGATCCGCCAGGTCAGCCTGGAAATTCACGGCTGGAGGCAGAGGAGAAAGTCAGGCTGGGAGGCACGGGGAGCATCACTTCCATGGCCCCACTGGGTCACAGCAGTGGAGAGGGCAGAGGAGCTGATGGGAGCCCACATTGCTGGGGAGCAGCAGCACCCCAAAGAGCACTGCAGCAACCCTGGGGCTCTTCCAAGTCCCGCAGAGCAGACATGGTTGGGGCACATTGAACTCTGCCCCCAAGAGCAGAGCTCCCTGCCAGAGATACCAGCAGTGCCCCTCCATGCCCATGGCTGCACACAGATCCCACTTTACCCTTCTCCTCTGCATCCGAGTCCGAGTCCACCAGGCTCTCTTCACTGCCCGAGTCCTCATCTTCATCCTCACGCCCATCCTCTTCCTCACAGCCACTCTCATCCTGTTCTTCCTCCTCCTAAGAGATGAGTGCCTAATCTCAGCCAGCAGGATGGTCTGTCCTCCCTACAGCTTCTCCCTCCTCCAAACCTGAGCTCACCCTACAGCAATGGGCCACAGCCCCCGAGGTGGGACTCAGCCTCCCCCACAGGATGCCCAGGGGCTGCAGCACCATTTCTGGACCCCCAGCATATCCTGTTGAGAGGAACAGCAGTGTGACCCATCCATCCCTTCCCAGCTGACCCTGCTTCATCTATGCTGATTGAAACCAAGCCCCCAAATATGTGGACTCCTCATTCTACATCCAGGCTGACTGGGGAGTATCCAGCTTCTGCCCTGCTCCAGCATGGAGTCCTCAGCAAAATGACCCTTCCAGCCTGGTTCAGGGCTGGCCTGAGCTTGGCCCTTGACACCCACTCACCTCTTCCACCTCGTTCTCATCTGTCTCCTCCCCAGTGTCCTGCTGCAGTTTCTGCCGCTTCTTAAACGCCTCCTTCTCTGGGCTGGGGGGAACAGAGTGGGGCTGGTGAGTCCCAGCATGAGAGAGGCCAGAAACAGGTTCTGCTGAGCCACCTTCCCTCCTGCTTTTGGGCCCTTTGGGGAAAACAGCCTCTGGAATTACGTGACAGGGAAAAGGAGACTGAGGGCAGGGCAGGGCTGGGAGGGGAACGCGGGTGTGCGGGCTCTGGCCATAGCAGAGGTGGGGAAGCAGGAGACCCAACCCCACAGGGACAGACGGGCACTCAGCCTCCCCCTTCCTTCCCAACACCTCCCCTCACCTCTTCCTCTGCTGTCGCCGCTCCTTCTTCTTCAGGCGCTCCAGGTCCTGCTTGGCGCGCCGGAGGACGTCGGAGGCCTCAGTGTCCAGGGGGGCGGCGGGGCTGCACAGCCCGGCCAGGCCGGCGGGCGAGGAGCCCACGGGGTAGGGGGGCCGGGCAGAGACCCGCGAGAGGCTGCGGCGCAGGGACTCGTTCATGGACTCGCTCTCCAGGAGCTTTGTCCTGGCCAGTGGAAACAGCACAGTCAAAGAGCAGCCAACCCACCGGCCCTACGGCGGGGGGTCTTGCTTGGGTTTAGAATCACAGAACGGTTTGGGCTGGAAGGGACCTTAAACCTCATCTCATTCCACATTCCTGCCATGGAAGGGGCAGGAACACCTTCCACTAGACCAGGTTGCTCCAAGCTCCGTACATTCACAGATATGGGATAACCACAGCTGCTTTGGGCAAACTGTGCCACTGCCTCACCAAGCTCACAAGGAAGAACTTCTTCCTAACTTCTACTTTAAATCTCTCTACGTTTAGTTTAAAGCCATCTTCCCTTGTCGTATCGCTATCTGTCCATGTAAAAAATAAAATCCAGCACTCTCCCTCTTTCTTATAAATCTCCTTTAGGCAGTGGAAGGGGCTCTAGGGTCTCCCCAGTCTTCTACAGACTGAACATGATGTGCTCGGATGGTGTGAGCCAGGGACAGAGTCACTGCTAAGCCATTCCCGCTAATGATGGGCCAGAAAGCCACAATGCTGCCAGACAAAGTACCAGGATCGAGCAAGAGACTGGGATGGACCCATCTTTGGGCGGCAGCAGTCCCTGGAAGACCCCAGGCACTTCAGATAGAACTTCCCCCTCCATCAATGCCCACACCAAGGACAACAACAGCCAAAGCACTGCCTGGCACCAAGGCTGGGCCTCCTTCAGCCCTGAGTAGCAGCAGTGCCACCAGCTGCTGTTCCACAAGGCTTGTAGTCCACCCCCAGCAGCGCTGGAGCACTGCGCTGTGTGAGCCACCCAGGCTCAGACCCCAGCCTCAGGAGCCCAGCGAGGCCCCAGCTGTGTGCCCACTCACCTCAGCTCCTCAATCTCCCGGATGTAGTTCTGGATGAGGGCGCCGATGGCTTCGTTACCGTCACCTGCAGCGCAGAGGCACCGGTGGAGAGAGGCACACGCTGCTGCAGCACAGCCCCGTCCCAGCTGCTGCCCGGGCTGGCCCGCCACAGCACCACCAGCCCAGCCTCACCTGCTTTGGCCAGCATCAGGTTGGCCTCCTGGCTCATGAGGTAGGTGACCCTGCTGTTGATGGCGTCGATGGCCTCCTGCATGGCCTTGACCCGCATGCGCAGGGCACTGTTCTCCTTCTGCAGCATGGCGTTCTCCCGGAACAGGTCGCTGTAGCCCTCCGTGCCATCCTCCCCGATCACCCGCTTGCCCTGCGGGCACAGGAGGGAGCCCCTGAGTGCTGGGCAGGCTGGGACATAGACACCACCACTGCACCCCTGGGGCAACCCAACAGAGAGCAGGGACAAACCGAGGGACCAGGAAAGCCTGAGCTGAACATGCAGGGGGTGAGAGATGCTTCAGGGCCTCTCCCTGCCTTACTGCCCCCAAAACCTGGCCAAGGTCCTCCCTTGACAGGCAGGAGATGAGACCCTGTATCTTAAACCTCCTGACTCCTCTCCTAGGGGGCAGGGGATGGGAGGCAGGAGGGTCTGTCCCACTAAACCTGCCCCAATTCAAACACAAGGAGGGGGCTTTCTGCACCTGTCTCTGCCTCCTCACCAGGGCTGCTCCATCAGCTGGGTTTGCCTTTGGTGGAGTTCATTTTCCTCACAGCAGCTTTTGTGTGGTGCTGTGTTTGGGTCTGTGCTGAAAACAGCACTGAGCCCACAGGGCTGATTTAGCTCCTGCTGAGTGAGGAGCTGTTCTACCCCTCACCCTGACCCACCAGCGTTGGGCCAGGGATGCACAGGGAGCTGGGGGGACACAGCCAGGACAGCTGTCCCCCACTGACCATAGAGATATCCCAGACCATGTGATGCCATGCTCAGCACATAAAGCTGGGGGAAGGAAGAAGAAAGAGGGCATGACCAGAGTGTTGTCCCAAGTCACTGTTACCCTTGACACAGCTCTGCTGGGCTGGGGATGGCTGAACACCTCCCTGTGATGGGACATGGGGAATGAGTTCCTTGGTTTGCTTTACTTCTTAAACTGTATCCAAACCAAGGAGATTTCTCACTGTTGCTCTCCAGTTCTCTCCCCCATCCCACTGGGGGGCAGTGAACAACTGGCTGCACGTGGCTGCCTTGCTGGGTCCCAGCAGGACGTGGCAGCACTCACGGCCTTGTACTCCATCAGCTCCATCTGCAGCCGGGCGATCTCGGCCCTCAGGGCGCTGATCTGCTGGCTCGTCTTGTCCTGGTTCACCACCACCTTGTTCTTGATGTTGCGGGCCCGGTTGGCGTACTTGAGCGTGTTCAGGGTCTCCATGAAATCCCGGTCAGAGGGGCTCACGCAGGCAATCATGATGGTTTGGCTTGGGGAGGCAAGGGCAGGGTGAAAGACAGTCCCTGCACAGCTCAGCAACCCAGCGGGTGGGAACTCAGCTCTCAGCACAGACCACGTGCCCCCCGACACCCATCCTGGATGGAAGCCCACCCTGGGCCCTTGTGGGTTTTAAAGCAAGGTATGAACTGGGTTCATCCCTCCCAGAGCCAGAGCACCCACAAGACCCCTCAAGCACATCATACAGCATCAGGCAAAGGCAGCCCTTCCTCAGTGCCTCCCTCTTTGGAGAAGAGGCAGGGAATTTAATCCCATGCTGGGCACCATCCCTTGCCAAGTCCCACATCTGTGAGGGCTCAGGAAGGTTTTGCATCAGCTGATTCTGCCAAAGCTGCTAATCGCACCTGAGGCTGATGAGGAGCCACAGTCTTTACATCTGTAAAGTCATGCCATGCCTGGAAGAAGGCATCTCCTCCTCACCAGGCAGCCACTGGAGCCCTGAGACAGCTCCTTACATAGCTCCAGAGCCCCCTCAGCTCCATCTGCGGGGGCACAGCCCCTGCAGCCCTCACCCCAGGCTCGGCCCCCTTACCTGTTGCCCCCGAGGGAATCCTGCAGCAGGCGGGTGAGCTTGGAGTCGCGGTAGGGCACGTGCACGACCTTCTTGCTCTGGTCTCCAAGGGCACTGATGACATTCCCCAAGGCCAGCTACAACACAAAGGGAAGCCCGCCCAGATTCAGCCCTGGCTGAGGATGCAGCTGCCATGCAGCCAGCACACCAGGCCTGGGGCACGCCCTGTAGCACAGCTTTGGGGTGCACAAGGCACAGGCGTGGGGCTTCCCTTAGCCTGGGCTGTGCCTCTGTCCCATGCTGCACTGAGAAGCAGCATCAAGCCCCAGAGCGGGTTTTTTAGCTCTGATTAGCAGATCTCACCCTTTTGGGAGCTGCACCCCTGTGCCCAGCTGCACCCCTCCCCACAGCACGAGTCTCCTTTGGCAGCAGAGCTGTGCTGTCCTTTGAGAGCGGAGCTGCGCTCTCACCACTGGCGCTGTGCGTGTTCTTGCCATCAGGCACAGCCACGACAGCAGCACCCCAACAGCCCAGGGCAGCTCCAAGCAGCACCCAGAAGTGTCCCAGGCTTCCCCTGGCAGGCCTTGCCTTGCCAGTCCCCCTGCCCAGCACAGCCCAGTGCCCTACCAGCCCGCAGTTGATGGAGATGCCCTCCTTCGCTCTCTCGCCGGTGGCACCCGTGCGCTTCAGCCTCTCCGAGCCAGCCAGGTCCACAAAGTGAAACTTGGCTGTCAAGGTCTCGTACTCAGCAGCGGGTTGGGATCCATCCAGAAGGCTGCTCACCTCCTCATTCACCTGCAGCCAGGACACACGAGGGGTCACCGCCCCAGACTGGAGCAGGCAGAGGCTCCCAGAGTCGGAGCATTCACCCTCCATATCCAGCCCCTCAGAGATGGGGACAGCATCCCAAGAGCAGCTTGCTCTGATCCATCCTGCCTTGGATCAGCTCACCCTCAGCTCCCATTAAATCCTAATGCAGGCTACGACTGGAAAGAAGACAGAAAAATCCCCGCTTCCCTTTGCCACACTTCAAACCCTCTCTCCTTCCCAAGGGAATTTCATGCATCACCTGGGCATGGAACCCAAGAACAGCCTGGCCACGAGGCAGGACCACATCTCACCAGCTCTGGGCGGGCACACACTCTCGTCTGGCACAGGTGAATAGTGAAGATGGCATGGGATCGGGAGCTCTGCACGTTCATCTGGGTGCTGGCCGTGGTGCGGGACAGAGCTCCTTGTTTTAGGCACTGGATCAGCTGCAACGACACCAGGCAAGGAAGGAAACCTTAAAGTCTCCTTCTGGGGAGTCAGGACAGACCCTGTGCAGCCCAGTGGACACACTGACCTTTTCCAGAACACCTCACTGCGCTCCCATCCTGGGAGAGCTCTCCCCCACCAAGCTGTCCCCACATCGCACATCCCTGGCCGGTGGCACCCAGCTGCCACCCCTGCCCTGTGCCTGCCCCATCCTGCACCCACCTCATCCTGTGAGCTGATGAGGCGTGACGTGACCCCCGTGGTGTAGATGCTCCCGCTGGCATCCTCGTGGATTTTGATGTTGGATTTGCGGTGGCGCGCGTCGGGGTCGCGGGTGCTGTCGAACAGGTCCAGGATCTCCTCGTTGTAGAGCTGAGCGGGGCAGCATTGGGTGTGGGGTGAGCAGAGGCAGCAGGGGGCTGCTCAACTGGCACTGCAGGAGTGGCAGGAGCTGCCCTCTGGCACCCTGCTGCCTCTCCCCCGGGCTGTGTGTGCTCACAGGGAGCTCGGGTGGGTGCATGTGCAGGAGAGGAGGCACAACACAGAATCGTGGAATCCTTCAGACTGGAAAAGCCCTCTAAGATTATCAAGTCCAACCATTTATGCCAGCACTGCCATGTTCACCACTAAACCATGTCCCCAAGTGCCACACCCACACATCATCCGACCGCTTCCAGGGATGGTGACTCCACCTCTGCCCTGGGCAGCCTGTGCCAATGCCAGACCACAACTTCAGGGAAGAAATTTTTCCTAATATCCAATCTAAACCTCAACTGGCACAACTTGAGGCTGTTTGCTTTCTTCTTGTTCCTTGTCCCTGCGAGCAGAGCTTGACCCCCATCTGGCCCCACCTTCCTGTCAGGAAGTTGTAGAGAAAAAAGGTCCCCCTGAGCCTCCTCTTCTCCAGGCTGAGCCCCCAATTCCTCAGCCACTCCTCATCACACTGGTGCTCCAGAGCTTGCCATGCAAACCAACCAACTGGCTTGGTTTCTGCTGCCCAAAGCTGTCCAGCTCCTGGTGCACACAAGCAGCTCCACTGAGCTTCAAATCCCCCTGACCTCCCTGGCTCACCTGGCCACACAAGCCAGTGAAACCCCACTCTTGTCACAGCTCAAGGTCACCTCTGTCAGGTGCACAGGGGATAAGGGGGCCCAGGGAGTGCTGAACAAGCAGGAAAGCCCTGCTGCCCCAGAGCTGACTCCATCCATATCCAACTCTGCAGTCCCCTCTCAGCCTGGGGTGGAGGGACACCCCTGCCCATCTGTCCCCTGCTGCCACCATTCGATGTCACCTCTTGCACCCACATGCCAGTGCAGAGTCCTGGGGCACCCCAGGATTGCAGTTCCTGGCCAGCACAAGGGATCAGACTAATCCATCCCTGGCTGCCCCTGGTGCCACCAGGCTCCTCAAAGGTTTAAACCTGCTCCCAGAACCAGGAGCAAAGTCACAAGACAGGGATCAGCCAGAACAAGTCCTGTGCCCCTGCCAGGACAGCAGGGTTGGTGACTGGTGCCTGATGTGGCCATGTGCTGCTTTAGCCACGCAGGATTTCAGGACAGGCAGAAAATTGTCCCCATTTCCATCCCTGCACAAAGGATCCCTGAAGAGAAGCCCCACAGACTGAGCACAATTGGGCAGGCAACCAGGACTTGGACAGGCCACGAGATGGGAATGGGAGGACAAACAGCACCACAGGGGCTCTGCAGATGGAGACATAAGTGGGAAGGATTTCTCCAGCAAGGAAGTGACTTTGGGCCCTCTCCAAGCCATCAGCATCTGAAGACACCCAGATGTGATGGCCAAAAAAGCCACCAGGAGGCAAGATCACAGCACAGGGCCCCTCCCTGCCCATCTCCTCTGGGTGCATCCTGGGTCACAGCCTCAGCCAGATGAAGCTTGCTTGGGAGCTCAGGTTTGCTCAGCACCACCCTGTGCTTTCTCACTGGGGCCTTAAAACAGTCCCCACTTGCACCTCTTTGCTCTTTCAGCCCAGGAGCAACCTCCAGGAAAAACGCTGCCAACACATGAGGTCCGTGGGCTTCCCAGGACAAACTTCTCCAGGGAATGAAGCAGTTAATAGAAGAGGGTTTGGCTAGGAGAAGCCTGGGCAGAGGCAGGAGAGGATGCATTCTCAAGGCCAGAGATGCAACAAAGGTCATGGGAAATAGCACAGTCCTTCCCCAACCCCCTCCCCAGAGTGGCACTTTCTTCTCCTCCCGTTTCACTGGGAGCTCTGGTTCAAGGCCATGGGCTATCCTTGACCTCAAACAAGGATGAGACAGCCCAGAGCCCCTGGATCCTCAGGGACCAAGCCATAAGGCCCTTCCCCATTGTGGGAGCTCCCTGCACCCACTTTGTAGCCATGTAGGTTCTTCGAGTCCCCAGTGCCCCAGCGCACACCCCAGCCCCATGCTGTCACAGGGCCCAGCTCTGTCAGGAGCCAGCCAGGAGATCTGGAGCAGCTCCAGGCACGGGGTTAGGGACAGAGCAGAGCCACGGTGTCCCCCAGACCCGCCATCACCCACCCACCTCCAGGAACTGGGCGCTGACTTTGAACTCGGGCGCTGCCAGGCCCTGGCTCTGGGCCGCTCGCCTGCGCTCCTCGATGCCGCTGAAGAGGTGGCTGATGGCCCTGGGGATGATGCCCTGCTCCTCCTCCGAGGTGCTCATGTCGAAGCCAGTGCCCATGGTGTAGGTCTTCCCTGCTCCAGTCTGTGCAGAGACAGGGAGGGGAGCTGGCTGGGCCCTCCCAAGCTCAGCTCTGCCCAGTGCACCCCACATCTCCCCTCTGCTGCTTTAGGCTCCCCAGATGTCCTTGCTAAGCCACTGTGACCCCCAGCAACACTCCCAGCCCTGCCACCCCCTCCTCCCAGACAAGGCCACCCCTGCCCCCAGCTCCCACCCAACCAGGGACAACTCTGTCCTCTCCATGCCAGGTTCTCAGACACCCTGCACCTCCCCTAACCCCCCAGTGCCCCCTGCAGCAGCCCTGGAGAGCCCAGCACCGAGGGCAGAGCCCTACCTGCCCGTAGGCCAGCACAGTGGCATTGTAGCCCTCGAAGCAGCCCTCGATGAGCTTCCCCATGCACGTGGTGTAGATCCGCTCCTGCCACGTGTCCAGGTCAAAGACAAAGTCATAGGTGAAGGCCTTGTCCTTGCCCAGCAGCACCTGGGGCTCGCCAGGAGTCACCGAGGTACAGATGTGGCATCCCTCTATCTTCTCCTTGGGCAGCTGCGGGCGGATCCTGGGGGAAGAGAAGCAGGCTGAGGGCAGCACAGGCTTGGGGGACACCAGGCTGGTCCTGAGGAGGAGAGCACAGCCCATCCTGTGATCCGTGTCCTAGAGTGTGCCCAGTCCAGCACAGCCAGAGGGAAAAGCCTGCTCCCCACTGCTCTGCACTGGGGCAGCCCCACCTCGAGTGCTGTGTGCAGTTTGGGGCACCACAGCGTAAGAAGGACAGAAAGGTATTAGGAGTGTCCAGAGAGGAGACATAATAACGGTGAAGGGCCTTGAGAAACCATATGAGAAGCAGTTGAGGTCACTTGGCTTGCTCAGACTGGACAAAAGCAGACTGAGGTCAGACCTATGGAGGTCTGCAGCTTCCTCACAAGGAGCAGCTCTGATCTCTGCTCCCTGTGACAGGGACAGGACCAGGGAATGGCTGGGGCTGTGCCAGGGCAGGTCAGCCTGGAGGTCAGGAACTGTTCTTCCCTCAGAGGGTGCTGGCATTGCCCAGGCTGCCCAGGGAATGGGCACGGCCCTGAGGCTGCCAGAGCTGCAGGAGTGTTTGGACAATGCTCTCAGACACAGAGTGGGATTGCTGGGGTGTCCTGCACAGGACCAGGAGCTGAACCCTGTGGGTCCCTTCCAGCTCAGGACATTCTACAACCCCTGCTGGAAACACAGCTCACGCAGGCAGGGGATGGGCAGCACCTCTGCCTGTAGCACAGAGCACACAGGGCAGGGCATGCTGCAGCCAGCCATAACCCTGACCTGCTTGCAGCTGAGAACAGAGGGTGACACATCCCAGAAATACCACCAGACACCTCCACGAATGAGGTGACAGGCAGGGCTGGGCACAAAGAGCCTGCACCTAGAACTGCCCCTGGCCCACCAGCTCCTCACTGAGCTCTGGCTCGTTCTCCTGCTGCCCCTGGCAGGGCTGGGCACAGACAGGGGCTGTGGCACCGGATCAGCCCCAGCAGGGACGGGGCAGAGCCAGGCAGCCAGGCCAGCACAGCCCCACTCGCTCCAACACAGACACATCAAACCGACACAAACACATCAAACCGCAGCTACAAAGGCTTAAAATGCAACATGCAAAACCACGACAAGACAGTCCTCACCGTTTGAAGCAAAGCACCACCCAGCCCAAAAGCTGTCCCCAGCCTCGGACTCCCGATGGGACCGGGACAGGCGAGGCTGAGCTGGCTCCTGGCTCCGGCAGAGCCTGTCCCACCCATCACATCCCACCCACTGCACTCAGCCCTGCCTGGGACATGTGGGAGCAGAGCAGCTGGACCTGCACAGACACTGCTGCTCTGCAGGGCTGCACAGACACTGCTGCACTGCTGCTCTGCAAAGCTGCACAGGCACTGCTGCTCTGCAGGGCTGCACAGGCACTGCTGCTCTGCAGGGCTGCACAGGCACTGCCCCTCTGCAGGGCTGCACAGGCACTGCCCCTCTGCAGGACTGCACAGACACTGCCCCTCTGCAGGGCTGCACAGGCACTGCCCCTCTGCAGGGCTGCACAGGCACTGCTGCTCTGCAGGGCTGCACAGGCACTGCTGCTCTGCAGGGCTGCACAGGCACTGCCCCTCTGCAGGGCTGCACAGGCACTGCCCCTCTGCAGGGCTGCACAGACACTGCTGCTCTGCAGGGCTGCACAGACACTGCTGCTCTGCAGGGCTGCACAGGTGCTGCTGCTCTGCAGGACTGCACAGACACTGCTGCTCTGCAGGGCTGCACAGGCACTGCCCCTCTGCAGGGCTGCACAGGCACTGCCCCTCTGCAGGGCTGCACAGGCACTGCTGCTCTGCAGGGCTGCACAGGCACTGCTGCTCTGCAGGGCTGCACAGGCACTGCCCCTCTGCAGGGCTGCACAGACACTGCTGCTCTGCAGGGCTGCACAGGCACTGCTGCTCTGCAGGGCTGCACAGGCACTGCCCCTCTGCAGGGCTGCACAGACACTGCTGCTCTGCAGGGCTGCACAGACACTGCTGCTCTGCAGGGCTGCACAGGCACTGCCCCTCTGCAGGGCTGCACAGACACTGCTGCTCTGCAGGGCTGCACAGGTGCTGCTGCTCTGCAGGGCTGCACAGACACTGCTGCTCTGCAGGGCTGCACAGACACTGCTGCTCTGCAGGGCTGCACAGGTGCTGCCCCTCTGCAGGGCTGCACAGACACTGCTGCTCTGCAGGGCTGCACAGCTCTGCCTGTGCTGCATGCAGCGGCTGCAGGAAGCCGGGGGCTCCCAGGGGACTCATGGAGAAAGGAGCTGGGAGCCAAGCGCCATGCAGAATGCCTCATTAGTGCTAATGACTGCACAGCTCCGTCCCCGGGTGCTCCATAATCACAGCTATTAATTCCTTCAAACCACATCCCTGGCACGCCGAGACCTGAGCAGCGGCTGTGTGCACTGGGACTCACCATCAGGAATCTCCTGGGCTGGAAGAGACCCACCAGCATCACCCAGTCCAACCCCTGCCCGGCCAGACACCCCAAATCCCACCCTGTGCACCCCTGAGAGCGCTGTCCAACCTCTCCTGGAGCTCTGGCAGTGCCAGCACCCTTGGGGAAGAACCTTTCCCTGAGATCCGACCCAAACCTGCCCTGACACAGCTTCATGCATGAGTCTGTGATCCTCACCCACCCAGGAGCAAAGCCCAGGAGGGCCCTGGGCCGTGTCTGGGGGCACAGGGTGCCCCTGGCAGGGCAGGTAGTGCCCAGCACCCCTGCACCCCTCACCCCACGCAGCAGACGCATGGGAACTGCTCTGTGCCTCTGTGGATATATTTAGCTCAGCAGCCACAATAAAAAGCAGCTTCTGATGTGCTCGGTCCCAGACGCGTTCCTGTCGCCTTCCCAGGGTTCCACCCTCCTCCAGAAAAATTATCCCTGACTTTAATTACTTTTGGAGCAAGATGATGTGCTTCCCTCATCCCCGCCCTAGACACGAACAGCAACTGCAGCCCCAGGGAACGGGCAGATGAAGGAACTGGAGCCACAATACGCTTGGGAATCTTTTTCCCTCTCAGGAAAAATTAAAGCAGGTTTTCAGCAAAACATTTCTTTGTCTCCCCACTCCCCCCAGAGGGTTAAATACCTACAGGGGAGGTTTGGAGCAGCAGCACTAGAGGGGTGGTTGCACATGGATTTTCCACAGGGCATTTAGGAACCCGCTTGGAGCTGTCCATGCTGGGCTGCTCCAGTGCCCATACACCAACACCAACATCTGCCCCACTCCCCAGACCTCACTGCCCAGCCAGCTCCAAGCACCCAAGGGGCCCATCCCTCACCCTGCCTCTCCCAGCCAGGGCACCTGTGGGGCTGGGGAGGACCCACGTGGCAGTCCTCAGTGTGCTCCCACCCCCCCATGCCATCCTGTCCCATCTCCCCAGCACCAGAGAGACACTGGAGATGCAGGAATCCCCCAGGAAGATCCTGCTCTTCAGGCAATTGGCCCACCTCACCCAGGGATGCCCCTGGGAGCTGCAGCCAGCTGCTGGACAAACACACAGAGCCTGCAGTGAGAGTGGGATGAGTGCAGCAGGAGGGCAAGGACGGGCACTGGCTGCCAAAACTCACCTGGGAAAGCACAGAGACATCACAAAGCATCCTGGGGCCTCATGCAGCCACCAGGAGACATCTCAGAGGGTTTCTCTAGGCCAGTGCAGCTGCTCCTCCTGCTCCCCAGTGTCCAACTGCCCCAGCTCTCCTGCACCAGAGTGTTGCACCCCTGCTGTCTCAGGAATCCCACCAGGCTGGGAACTGGGCAACATGAGACCCCAGCTGGGGTAGGGAGGTGTTCATGTAGCTCCAAGCCATGCTCAGGCACCATGACACCTCCAAATGAAGAATCATGGAATTGTTCAGGTTGAAAACACCCTCTAAGATCACCAAGCCCAACCACTGCCCCAGCTCTGCCATGCTCACCACTAAACCATGTCCCCAGGTGCCACATCCACACATATGTTGAACACCTTCAGGGATGGCGACTCCACCACTGCCCTGGGCAGAGGTGTCTGACCAGCCTATCAAGGAAATTTTTCCTAATATCCAATCTAAACCTCCCCAGGACAACCTGAGGCCCTTCCCTCTCCTCCTGTCCCTGTTCCCTGGGAGGAGCTCCAGACCCTTCCCCAGCGCCATTCCCTTCTCTGGACACGCTCCAGCCCCTCAATGTCTTTCTTGTGAGGGTTCCTCAGGACTGGAGGTGCCTCTGAAGCGCCCAGCTCAGAGGGATGGGCACTGTCCTGTCCTATGGCTGGTACAAGACAAGTGCCATTGGCCCTCCTGGCCACCTGGGCACACCTGGGCTCATGGTCAGGCACCACGACAGCATCCCCCAGGTTCTTTCTGCCAGCAGCTTTCCAGCCAAACATGCCATCCCCTAAGCACCAGCCCAGCTTTCTCCTTGGCCCTGTTCTCAACCCCAGCTGGTAATGCTGGGGCAGGTCTCAGTGCTTGCCATCCTCTGCCTGAGCTTCCCACATTCTCCAACAGAGATCAGCAACTTTAGAGGCCATAAATTCACCATCTGAGTGTGTTCTGGCACTCCTTACCACTCTAACACTACCAAAAAGGATCCTGGCCACATCCTCTCTGCTCACAGGTCCATCAGAACTGGGTGTGACACTGGCAGGGTCAAACCTGTGAACAAAGGAGCTGCTCCCTCACCTGCCAGCCAACCTGCCCCACACCCGGTCATGAGGACAGCTTGTGCCAACCAACAGGACTCACGGCAGAGCCAAAGGCATTGGGGTGCCTGGTGCAGGACTGGGACACCCCTGAGAGCCTTGCTGCCCTCCTGAGAGCCCGTGACACAGGCTGCTGTGGTTATGTGACAGCTGGCGACCTACCTGCTCAGTGGCAACCAAAATTACCCAGCAGTTCAGCAGCAGGGGGCTGCCTTCCACCCCCCAGCCTGGCAGGAGGAACCCAAGCTCCTGACAGTCTGTGCCCAGCCAGCCCCACACTGGCCTGGTGCCACCTCTGCACCAAGCTGACAGGAGGAGGACACAG